CAGCGAATGGATTGGCCAGCCAAATTCCCTGACCTGAATCCTATTGAACATGCTTGGATGCTCTTGGGATAGCTATTGCGATGCGCAATAGGAGATATTTGGGAAAATGTCTCCCATCTCTTAATTTTGTCCATCAGTGTATTATAGACGGGAGAGCTATTCTATCAGTCTCTGAGTTTCAAAACCGTTAAGAAAGCAAAAGATTTTCTTTACCGTAAACTTTACCGTTAATTGCAAACCGACTGCTGTCGGTTATTTTGCCATAATTTTAGAATAAAATCATTAACAGTGTACCCTACTAACACAACTAACAGCTCTTATAAATATTTTTAAAAGGGAAGAGTTATTCGTCTATAAAAAGGCTTTAAATTTAAAGCAAATACTTAAATTAATACAAGCTTCAAATACTTGAATTTGCTTTACTGATAAAAGTCTTCGGTAATATCCTCTTAAAAACAGTAAATAACATTTTAGAATATTGAGCTTAGCAAAAAATTAAAAAATCGATTTTATAACCTAATTTTATAACCTAAAAAAAATTTCAAACTTTTTATAAAACATTTAAAAATTAGCAAGTTCAAAGAGTTTTTGAAATTTAAAACTTTAGGAAAATAAGAATGAGTTATTATTTTACTCTCTGTATAAATAAGAACATTTCTTATAAACTTATATAATAATTTTTATTCCTTGTAAATTATCTACACATACTTTGGCATCAACATATTCTCCAGTGTCTTGTAGCGGATCAGATAAAAGTTTGATTTCAGAAATCTCGCTCCTTCTCATACTAATTGCAGACACAAAGAATTCTTCGCACATAGAGTAGAGTTTTTCATTCTACAATAAACTCATTTTTATTCCTTATTAAATTAACAAGTTCACTAAGTGTCATTCATTAAATAAAATAATTTTTTTGAAATATTTTTGTCATTAGCCTTATTTCGATATTGTTGAAAAAGATTTTTTTTTAAAATTGTGGACGTTATTAGGCTATAATATTTACTAATTTTTATATTCGCGAAGCATACTTGATGCGCTTAAAAGTTTCGTTTTATTTAGGTTAAAGTAAATTTTATTTAACTGTATGACTGCTACAAATATAATGTGTGATGCGTAATATTTATTTTATTTCAATGCTGCTACACAAGAGTATTCAAATACTTCTAAAAAGCTACTACAATTAAGGAAAATTAAACGTGTTTCTTGCTGTAAGGGTACACCAAAAAGATTACTTTGAAAATGACTTTAAAAAATTAACGATAAAATATGGTTTAAAACTAGACAAATGTGGTAAAATTGTGAGATAATTTTATCATAATACCTTAAAGCATGGTATAAAAATCATCTATTCGGATAAATTTACTTTTCAGTTTTGTAGTTTTTACTAAATGTGTGGATATTGATAAATAAACAGATAATATTGATAAATAGAATTTAAGGAAGCCGTTACCATATTAACGAAAAAATTACCCCACGAATGTTTTGAATACCGTATAAGTTTTATGTATTTTATATTGCATATTATGTATCATGCATTATATTATTTTCTTGGACTTTGGTTAAACCTTTGGGGTACAGAGGGAGCAATTTTAGACTTTTGTCTTGCTTTCTCGATAGAAAAGGTTTTGCTTTTATGACTTCCGGAGCTGGTACCCCCTGAAGACGTCAGCTTTGGTTGTCATATTTATCCAATTTTTTTCATATTTTCATTGTCTCATTTGTTTCAATTCCGTTTGAATTCACTGCCGCTAAGCGCGTTTTTCCATTGGAAGTACTATTATTTTTAATTGCTTTAAAATTTTGAATTCTTTACTTGATATTGAATACCGTATATTTTGATCTTATAAACCCGAAAGTTTTTTTTTTGCCAGAAATGTCATTACTATAGAGTATTGTGATTTTACCAGAATCTTATTCTCCGTGTGGGTCTTATATTTAAGCTTATTTGAATGTTCATTTTGAGCTATAAAGTTTTCAATTCTTATGATTATATTGTTTTTTTCCCTCCTATATTGTCTCATTTTTGGTGCAGGAAAGAAGCTAGAAGTAAGTTTCTGAAGGACAGCAGAAATAATCTGGAGGTAAATTAGTTGTTAAATTACGAAAGAAATAACATGTTTGAACGACTAAATTATTTATTGAATAACTGAAGTTTGATCACCATTCAAAACAGATGTTATAAAAAAACTGAAACGTAAATATAAACCAAGTACTTTTACAGTTTTTGAGTACAAAAATTTATTGATGATAACAATTATAAAAAGTAATGGCTCCTTTATGCAATTTTTCTGATGTCGTTTCAATAGAATACTTATCAGACTACATAGTTTTTCTGGATTTATCAATTGTAATTTTTTATTTTCCTTTGCTTATCTAGTGGGAGATTTCATGACCTGCAAAATTTGTATTTGAATGATAAAATTCAATTTTTAAAATCAATTATTAAATTATTTACAATTAATTATTAAATTATTTAAAATTAATTATTAAATTATTTAAAGTTACTTCTTAAATTAATTATTAAATTATTTAAAACTAATTATTAAATTATTTAAAATTAATTATTAAATTATTTAAAATTAATTATTAAATTATTTAAAATTAATTTTTTAAAATTTAATTTAAGTCATTGAAGTTTAGTTTAAATTTAGTGTGATACTTTACATGGACTTTTCTCGTCAAATTGCTATTAATGTATATTTAATGAAAAAGAGTAATTTTGCTTTCATAACTTATTTCATTTTCCCTTTAAAAAAACTTTGCTAATGTAAGTTCTCAAAGTATGGATAGGAACACTAATCATTAATGGAATTTCTAAACGAACATCAATTCCTAAATAAAAGTTCACAAGGATGAATTGATGTTTTATGATCATGCTTCTATTACAGGTTTGATTGAAGACAGGAGACCCAAAGAAAGCCTTTAGCCATTTGGTCGAAGCATTTTTATTGTAACTTTTATTAACAGCCATGCATTTTATAATTTGCAATACAGGTTGGCAGTTAAGTCTTTTGTTTTGAACAAGATATAATAATGTTCATTTTGAACAAGGTACCTTACGTTAATTTTTTATCATAATTTATCCGTTTTACTTCGTATTTATGTTAGGTTTTTAAATTCACAAAGAAAATTTTTAGTGAATGGAGAAATACCGGATAGCTCTCACATATAAAATTTCAGTCCAAAATAGAGCTTTGTTATTATATTATGTGTACTTAGCAACGACGATAGTATTTTGTTCCAGTGTATTTATCTGTTTTTCAAAAACTTGCTGATGTTTGGTTATTCTGTTGAAAAGATAAGCAAGCTACTCAAGACTACAATTTATTCGAAAAATTTAAAATATTTTGCTCAATCAATCATGGAATTTTTTCACAATTTTTTTTAAATTTAAAACTAGTTGATGATTACTTTATTCAAGATGATTTATTTAGTATTTTCATAAGAAATTTACTCTCGAATAAAATATTTCTTAACTCCATAACGATCGGTTTATTTTCAAGAAAACGGTCATAAAAGTGCCTATTTTGCCAAATACACGTATTTGATTAGTGCTGAGATCTAGTTTAAAATCAACTAACTATCTACAATTACCTTACAAATATCCTGGTACTGCCATCTGGTGTGTAAAATGAGAAGTAAAATGCTTTCCGAGCAAAAGAAATTAATTAATTTTTTTCTTATCAGAGCGTTACTACTAAACACTCCAGCTCGGAAATTTCACGGGAACGAGAAATAGAGGGCGGAAACTCAGCCCGTCATTTTCACGGGAGCGAGAAGGAAGGGGTTAATAAGATGCTCTCTGTATTGAGTTTGTCAAACTGTGAAACTTACCTGCGACTTTTCGTTTCGTTCAAGATAAGAGTTCAGTGTGTTAAGTTCAGATTCTATTCTTTCAATTATTTTTTCGTGAAGTTGTTTGCAATTCATAAGAACTTCGAGGGTCTACATTGTAAAGTAAGGTAATTCAAAATAAAGCAACGCAATGAAAATAAGCAAAATTAAAAGCGCTCGTCGAATAAAAGAAATAAATACTTACATTTTTATTTTTATTTTCCATGCTCGAATTGAGAATGTCAACTTCTGTTTTCAGATTGGTCATTTTTTCATTTATAATTTTAATGCTGTCATAAATAAACTCCTTACAGCTATCAACTTCTTTACGTATCTAAAAAAACATTAAAACTACTTCAAACTAAGACATTAAAACTAAGTTAAATCAATTTTGAAAGGGATAGTTAATATGATGTAGTAGATAGTTGATATAATGTAGTTGTATACTAGTCAGAGGTCTGTCCAGACATTTTGTGAAAGGTTCGTTTTTGTAAAATTATGAAAACTCGAAATTTGTGAATATAAGATAAATGTTAAGTCACATTCCTTCAACCAGGGTCCTGCTTTTGTGAATTTGCGTAAATAGGGTCCTGTTATTGCAAAAAACTTTTTCAAGGAGTTTTTAAATTGTAAAGAGATACAAGATTATGCTCAACACTGTAAAATTATAATAAAAAAAATTAAATTCTAAAAGATAAAAGCTTTTAAAAGATAAAACTGCTACTAAATTAGAGATGCAACACACAAATATTTGGTATTTAGCCTATACTGCTGAACGCAGAATACTAATTTCGGACGAATAAAGGAAGAAGCGTCTGCTGAAGACAAAACTTAGTTCGTTTACACCTGTCTTTCTTACCATTCTCCCCCTGGGACTGGGTTTATACGATTAACAAAATAATAATGAAGATAAACAAATCTGTGAAGGAACATAAATTATTTTGTGAACGGTTCGTTTTTAAGTTAAAATATTTTGCGAAGAGTCCGTTTTTATGAAAAGATATTTTGTGCAGGGTCCGTTAACAGACCCAAATTTCTTCTAAACAGACCCCTGCTAGTAGATATAATGTACGTGTACAGAACAGAAAATTAATGGTTAAAGTTTTTAAATTCATCGAAAACGTGAAAATTTAAGTGCTGTTATTATGAAATCCGAAGATATCATCATTTATTAGATAAAACATGATGAATTTTTCTTTAACATTCCAGTACTCAGGTAGCTGAGAAACAGTTGAACCTCATATGTATCTTCATCGAAGATTTCAATATCTTTTGGACAAAAATAAGGAAACCGATGTTAGCCACTGGGTTCCAAGTCCCGGATATCGGATGAGTGCAGGCGATGATGGTCTATTGAAACTGGCAATAAAGCAACAGATAGGCGAGCATCGTGTGAGTAACCAATCTGAATTGTCCATCTGAGTTCTATCAGTATTTCACTGAAGCATTTATTGCATTTTCAGAAGGCGAAAAGTATTGCAAAAGAGAGATTATTGTTTAATGCCGAGGTTAAACATGTTCAACGCATTCTCAACGATATGGCGGAAATCTGCTAGAATGCAGGTTTTAGTAAAATTGATAAAACATCTACAAAAAGGATGGAAGTTGCAATTATGTTTAAAATAGATAAATGCTAATGCTTGAGCCACGATAGCTCAGGGGATAGAGCGTTTGCCTTCCAATGAGGTGAACCGGATTCGAATCCCACGATGGCTGGTCGATACCGCACCGACCACAGTGCTGACATGAAATATCCTCAATCGTTGACGGATCATGGGTTAGAATCCTTTTGCCGTCAGGCTAATCGTTGGATGTTCTCGCGGTTCTTTTCTCCATGTAGCTCAAATGCGGGTTAGTACCATGAAAAAGTCCTCCACGAAAGTAAATTTCTCCCAATACTCGTTCCAGGAGTTCCCTTGTCTTCTGGATTGGGTTCAAAATTACAAGGCTACGGAGTTGAACATTAGCAGTCGTAAACCCATAAAATTGGGTAGGCTGTTCAACGACGGTTATAAAATAAAATAAATAAAGTATAAAATGTGAACGTTTAAAATGATATAAATGTTAATATAAACCGATTTTTTAAAAATTGAAGAATTTATTTGGGTGATTAGTCTTATCCCTATAAGCTAAACACTTCACCAATGATAGAGGAGAAGGTGTAAAAATGGGCACAGGTGTAAATATGGGCACCCCTCCCTAGAAGCTATGGGAGGTACTGAAGACTGGCGGCAAGGACTGTATATGGCGCCAGTTGCTAATATAAGATTGTACAGAGCAGTTGAAACCATTTTTTCAAGTAGTGTGGATGCAGCGTGAGTTATTATGCAAATTGGTGTTTATTCTGGACTGCAGACTTTTGAGAGGTATGTGAAATCGTTTTCTTTTCATGTACTTATGTTCAGTTAAAAATAATTTGACAGTGATATCCGGAAAGCGGAGATCTTAAGCTATTTTTTGAAGCACACCTTTAGTCACGCACGCTTTTAGGTTACTTGTGATAGTGGCCATCCTTCTTAGGTGGGGTTGGTGTAAATATAGGCCCCCATTTAAAGGGGGCCCATAATTACACCAACTTTTTTTAGTGGAGTTTAGCACACCAGGCTCTAGTTATGCCATTTGATAAGGCAGCTGAAATACCTCAATGTTCCCCGGGAACTTCAAGTGCAATTTCTCCGTTCGGCATATCTCCTGTTCCCAACATTAAGAAGATAATCACTACTCGTGGACGCAAAGCAGCAAGGTCTAGCCTCATCACCGGATTACCATACAAGGATCAGTTGACCAAGACGCCTTACAAGTGCTCTCAAGAAGACGTCCTTGAGTTTTCCCGGGGTAAGAGACCGGCCAGAGGGCAGGGTGGGAAGACGAAAGGCCTTCAAAAAAAGAAAATTCGGCCCACGCAACGATACGATTCATCATCGGACTCATCAGACTCGATGACCCTCCTCTTATCTACAGCGATGATGATACGAATCTGATAAATGTCAACGGTGGGGATAAACCAGACTCAAGCGATGCAACTTGCAGTTTTTGTGATGGAAAGTTCTCTGAAGACACTCGAGGAGAGGTGTGGGTAAGATGCGTTATGTGCCAAATGTGGGCACTGTGCCGGGGGTGAAAGAGCCAGTTATGTTTGCGATTTCTATAAATAATGTTTTTTCCTGTAATAAATAAATTCTCTACCATTTTGTATAGTTTTATTCTGTTTTTAAACTATTTTTGGTGGCTTTTTTGAAGAGGGCCCATATTTACACCCCATTTTTTCTGGTGCTTTTTTAAAAGATTTTTGAAAATCGTAGTTTTTGAAATGAAATAATTGATGTTAATCATTGTTTTGCCTTCTCGCATTTAGGAAACTTGTTATAGTTGTTAATGAAAGATAAAAATCTAGAAATTTTCAAATTGAAGGTAACTTTTTCCAAAAAAACAAAAGAGGGTGCCCATATTTACACCTTTTCCTCTACTAATAATGATGAGTAATTTACTTATGGTCTTGAAAGGTCAAGTCAAAAATGAATGTATACTTGTGTATAGAGCCGATATAACTGCCTGCTATAGAAATCTGTTCATTTGTGTTTGTTATTTTATTTTATTCGTGCATGACGTTCCACTTCTTGTATAAAAGTATACGCTTGACATTGAAAGTTTATCTAATTAGAAGAATTTTAAATGTTTTAAATGTTTAAGAATCTTTTTTGTTAAATTACTAGATATTTTAATAATTTTTTTTAATAAGGAATGCTTTACTTTTGACATCAGTTCTTCTTTTTCAGAGCATACTATATTCGTAACTTCTATCAAGTCATCACAGATAGTAGATTTCTTTGATAATCCATTCCACAGAAAGCTCTCAACCGATTTCAAAACACCAGAAACCTGAAAATGAAGTTTTTTTTTATCATAGATATAAATATTACTATAGAAATAAATATTAATTGCAGGAGTTATTTAAGTTCCACTTGAACAATTTATAATTTTCTTATCATAAAAGTTTTTGCTTCAATTATTTTAATTACAAGTGATCAAGTTTTAGTAATATGAGCTTCATTAAAAAGGCAGTATTTTAACTGTACTTCTTAAACAGAATCTGTATATTGCAAATAAACTAAGCTTAATATACAGTAGCGAGCCATGATAGCTCAGGGGATAGAGTATTCGCCTTCCAATGAGGTGAACCGGGTTCGAATCCCAGTCGATACGAATTCCGCATCCGGCTTGCATCGACCACAGTGCTGACGTGAAACATCCTCAGTGGTAGACGGATCATGGGTTAGAGTCCCCTTGCCGCCAGGCTAACCGTGGGAGGTTCTCGTGGTCTTCCTCTCCATGTAACGCAAATGTGGGTTAGCTCCATCAAAATGTCCTCCACGAAGGCAAATTTCTCCCAATACTCGATCCAGGAGTTCCCTTGTCTTCTGGATTGGGTTCAAAATTAAAAGGCTGCGGAGTTGAACTCTAGTAGTCGTAAACCCATAAAATTGGGTCGGCTGTTCAACGACGGTTATAAAAAAATATATATATATTCACAGTAGCTTGCTTTATTGGTTAGCTTGAAAGACAGTTATACAGTTAGCTAAACTTACTTTGTCTTAAGCATAGCAATGTAAAAACATTATGTCTATCCGCACCTGGAGAGCTAATGGTCAAAGATATCACAGATTTGTGAAATACTAATGATTAAAAGTTTATGATTCTTAACCCCTTAACGATGGGTTAATTTTCAAGAAAACGGTAATAAAAGTGACTATTTTTTGGCGTTTGTATTTGTATTACGTATTTGATTAGTGCTAACATCAATTTTAAAATAAACTAACTATCTACAATTACCTTAAAAATATCCTGGTACTGCCATCTGGTGTGTAAAATAAGAAATAAATTGTTTTCCGGGCAAAAGAAATGAATTAGTTTTATTCTTATTGGCGCGTTACTACTGAACACTCCAGCTCTTCAATATCACGGGAGCGAGAAATAGAGGGCGAAACCTCACCCCGTCATTTTCACGGGAGCAAGAAGGAGGGTTAAATTTATAAAAAATAAGTAAATGTAAATAGTAGAAATTACCATTTTTTCTAATTCTTCAGTAGAGCCCAATACCTTCTTCAGGTTCTTCATTTGGTTTTGGATACTGCGTATTTCTTCCTCCCGATGGGATATAATAGATTTAACAATCTGTCCGGAATCCACGAGATAAGTATTTACCTATTAAACGTATAAAAGTATAATCATAAATGATTATTCTTTAAAAATGTCAAGAACTAAATACTTGTGAAGGAAATAAAGTATTTAAAGAAAATAAAAAGTTATATTCTTAAATTACCCGTACACATTCAGAGAAAGATTAAAATTTACAAATTTAAAAAAAAAATACTCTAAACAAGGTATAGTTAAAATATAGAAAATGAATGTATTTAAAATTAATTAAAACAAGAGTATAAATTACAGGCGAAAGAAAAATGTGATAATAGAATAAAAATTCTATAATAAAATAAAAATTCCTCATACTATGTGTAATAGGAGAGGTACTATCATCAATCAATCTCTGATGAGGTTAAAGTATGAATCTTTTACTTTCAATCTCTGATGAGGTTAAAGTATGAATCTTTTACTTGCTCTTTGTTTCTACTCTGAAAAGACTGTGGACTATAGGAAAACCAAAAATCTCGCTAATTTTTACAGAAATGCTTTGGTCAAGATTTTGGTAAAGTAATAAAATGTGGTTTTATAAAATATAATAAAATTTGGTAATTTTATCATGATACCTTAAAGCATGGCATGAAAAATATTTATACTAAATTTACTTTTCAGTCTTGTATTTTTTACTAAATGTGTGGTAATCAGAACTATAATTTTGAAAACCAGAATAACTGCTAACCGTTCCCTAAGAACTAAAACAATTGCAAAATGAATGGTTTACATACCGTATATTTTAATTAGAATTATGTTTTTGCTTTAACCAGCAATGTCATTACCATACAGTATAGAAATTTTACCAGAATTCTTTTTCTCTGTGCATTATATTTAAAAATAAAGTTTTGTCATAGTTAACATACTTATTTAAGAAAAGTTTCAACAATTAAATTTTTTATTGAAATATAATGAGTATAAAATATCAACTAACAATGTTCTAGCTTTAATGAAAACATACCTCTTTATTTAAGAGAGAAGTCAAACGCTCATACGTGTTTGAATTCAGTTGAAACCTTTCCAACTGTCTTTCATTCAAGCAATGTTGTAAGAACGTAGAGCATTGATCACGATGATTCAATAACTGAAACAATAACGATTGATAGTGAGTGCCATTAAAATAACAGCTTATTGTAAAGATTTAAATAAAAAACGATTTTTATACCTTTCTATTATGATCAGTTTCAACAGATTTGAATTTTCCCAAAGTCTGATTTACATGTTGAATACATTTTACATTGATTTGTTCTATGGGTTCCTTACCCGCGCTGTTGAAATATCCACTAAATAAGGACTGAAAAACATAATTAAGATCACGTTTTAGTAAAAATGTTTATTTATGGTTAAAAAAAATATCAGAATGAACTATTATTGCTGTTAATGCAAGGAGTATGATTTAACAATTGAAAATAACAAGTACTAAAGTTCTAGGAGAAAATATTTTAGAAAGTACACTAGTGGACAAAATTAAGAGATGGAAGACATTTTCCTAAATATCTCAAAAAATACTGGATATAAATAAATGAAATTTGGTATGGATATAGCTCATTCCATGATAATAAAGTATGAAAAACAAAAATGAAAGTGCCATTCACTGGCAAGACCTATTGCCAATAAATCCAATGTAGTCTGAGCTTAAGGATAAAAGATGACAATAAAAGTGAGGCTTGTACAGTGTGTGTTGCCTCTAGTATGGTCACCCCTGACAGACAGACAGCATGCACAACGAGTATGCATGCTGTTAATAAGGGAGTTAAGGAGGACTTGTGGAAGACCCTCCCATTCTTCCACCAGAGAAATTTTTAACTCCAGAATGGTTCTGGGGGGAGGTTGGCGCACCGCAATAGCTCTCCCAGGAGCATCCCAAGCATGTTCAATAGGATTCAGGTCAGGGGATTCGGCTGGCCAATCCATTCGTTGAAAATCCTCGCTTTCCAGATACTCATCAACCATGAGAGCCCTATGTGGTCGCGCATTGTCCGTCCATAAAAATGAACTCAGGGCCAACAGCGCCCCTGAAAAGACGCTCATAGGGCTCTAGGATCTCCTGCCTGTACCTCTGGGTATTCACGGAACCATTGTCAAACACATGGAGTGGTGTGCGGGTATCTTACATGTGCGAATGAATGTGCGAAAATGCTTTCCATCTCTTAATTTTGTCCACCAGTGTATTTCCAAAATGATCTGTCACTAGCCTTAGTACCAAAAAAAGTTCACCAGCAACAAAAAGTTATGATTTTAACAAAAATGTTATAGATGGAAATAGATAGTTAAACACTCCAGATCCGATCACTATCTATTTTACTGATCATGCTTGGTTCATTACTTCATTCAATAATAAAAAGTCAACTATAGTGCAGTGAAAGTCGATCATAATTTTTTTTGGGAAGTACTATTTTAAAGATAGTGACGTTAAAAGTACGTCTTTCAGTCTAGTGCACAAACCTATGTTTACAAACATGTTGCCCACAAAGCAGTTATCAAAAGTCGAATCTCGATCAGATTTTTTATAACGATCGGAAATTTCCAATTAAAATTTTGTGAAAGAATCCAGATGAACTTTTTAGATTTTTGAATGATGATTTGATGAATTTTTACAACGTTTATACCATTCCTTTTAAACATACAATTGCTTTTTTAAGTAAAGTTTTAATACTTCAAGCAATGCAGCATAATCAATTTTTATTTCGGCTGGTTATTTTTAATTGCAGTAATATTGTATAAAACATTATACAAAATAAGTGAGCAATATTATACAAAAATAAGTATTAAGAGAGACAAAAGTATTTTTTTAAACTTACTTTGAGCTCTCCTAATTTCTCAAATTCTTCATTAATTACTTTATTTTCTGCTTTTCTCCTTCGAGAAATTCGCGACAAATATTCCTTTGCTCTTGTAAGGTTAGACATGCCCTAAAAAGTACACATTTATAATTGTGTACGATAAATTATTTTAATAATAATAATTTTACATACATAGTCACAGAATATCTCGAATAAATAACAAGATAATATCATTTAAGGATTGCTATAGATTCGTAATATCAAAAAGAAAGACAAAGCAGATTGATTATGTTAAAATTGCATTAAAAACGAATATTTAAATAAACCATGAAATTTCTTAGTATGCTACACTATATCGGCTCAAAGAAGAAAGTTCTAAGATAACGTAATCAAGACGACGATATAACAAAATTTTTGTCACTTTTTGGGATACAAATGGATTATTTGATTAAATTTTCAAAACTAAGCTTGCTTAAAATTTTAATAATTTTTTCCAGTCAAATCAACCAATCAAACAAAATGCAGATAATTGTAATATGTGTAAATAATTAAAGAAATAATGCGACACTGTAAAGCGTGCGAAATTTGTTTTGTAACTTATTGCACATTAGAGTTCAGAAACAAACAAAAAATGAAAGAAATTGTCCTTACAATTTCCAAATAGGAAATATATAAATACAAAAAANAAAAAAAAAAAAAAAAAAAAAAAAAAAAAAAAAAAAAAAAAAAAAAACACTTCGATGAAAAACAATTTGCAGACGCTCTTATAATCTGCAGCACCTGATGCCGAACTGGAGGGCTATCAGGCTGGTATTTAATTAAAAAAATTAAGTGGACGATCTAGGAAAATTCAGACCCTTGCCTAGAAAAAAACAAAACAAATTTGATATGTTTTTTTTACAGATGATATGCTCGCAGCAATCAACTCACTCATTCAAATACACACTGCTGTACTGCTTTTGTACAATTACCTGGAATCACAGCGAACTGACTAAACTTTTTCACTCTGCCACTTCTAGCGCAGAATCTCTCCTAACTTTACTTTAATTATTTAATGATAAATATAGTAAGGGGCATAAAAGGGCAAAAGTTATTGTGCCTATAACTTACATCCAATATACTCTCATCCTTTTCTAAGACAGATGTTAATTTAAAAATTTCATCTTGTACAAATTTTCTTTCTTTTCTTCTATGAACTAAGCCTTTGAAAATTATATCAGAAAAACTTTGAATGACATCTGCAGCCTAAAATGGAAAAAAAAAACTTAATTAGAAAAAAAAATACTAAAGTGCACAAATAAACCTCTTATTGTACTTATTTTAAAATAAATGGCAGCAATATTTTTAAGTGAAAATTCGTTATCATTTTCTTAAACTAACGTTTATGTTAGAGTGACTTCTTACTGAGAAAAATTAAATCCAATTAAAATTGAAGTTAAGATCCAACAAAGATCGAAGTCCTTTTAAGGAAAAATCCAATTAAGATCGTAGTTAGACAATTCAAAAACTAAATATATTAAAAAGGCCATGCAACCAAGTTAGAAGGCATTGGCTTATAAAAAAAATGTTTACATGACGAATATTTTAAACTTCTTGTATTACTTACTTCTAAATTTTCATTTTGCTCCTGTTCTATCTCAGTCATCTAAAAAAAAAAAAGATATTTTCGCACATAAAAATATTTTTACAGATATATAAGTGTTTATAACACTTCAATAATAGTCGGTAACAATGATCTTATTTAATGATGAATAAAGTCATTATTTAACATATCATGATAAGTAAAATGATTATATCTTATTATTTTAAGCTAAAGTTTAGTTTACAGGAGGCCTCTTTAAACACCACCTTTAATTGTGAATTGCAGGTTTGATTATCTCCTGATACTTTTAAATTTCATTCTTTTAAGTTTTTTAGTTTTATTTCTCATTTTTGATTTTTTTTTAAATTTTTTACATGCATCTGATGACAGCGTATATTTTGACAGCACTATACCTTTAAAAAATGTGTGAAAATAAAGACATGACTTTATTTTAGGAGAAATAACGCTTGATAATCTTTAGCATTTCTATGGTATTTTGTTAAAAAATGTAATGCAATAAAATTATAACGGTTAATAATTTTAAGTAAGTAACTTAATATTGAATAATACTTTGTTTAGATTTTTCAAATTTACTTTTACTATTGTTTAAACCAAGGCATGGAATTTCAGTTTCAAAGATATTAGCCACGATAAAATTTTCAGTCGCCAATAAGAAAAATATTGCTGCTTAATAACAAAACTAGCACGTGGCGTTTTACTGTGGCATGATAATCTATGTGTATATAGTTTAATTTAAAACTCAGCATTTAAAAGAAATGAAAATTACACACCAGCCTTAAATATTTGATTGCAAATGGCGAGGTGTCGGGTGCAAATTTCAAGCTCTGGTTTAATCTGGTAAAAACCAATTGGGATAAAAAAACTAGCTTAGAGTAAATTGCACAAAAACTAAGATATTTATTAGAAATTTAAAAACAGAAAAATGTGCCTATTTTCATTTAATTATCGAGTTATAAACTTATAATTTTACTTTAAGTTACAAAATCAAATTCTGTCGGCAAACGGGGTGTTATATGTAAGCTATAAAAAGATGCTTTATTTTGGGAATTTTTCAACTTTGGCCATTGAGTTTTAAAAGGATAGATCGTAAAGATTTATTTAATAGCTAGAATAAGAATTAATAACGAGTAATAAATTCCAAAAACTTTATCAAAACTCTGATCAGGTAATATTTAATTGATGAATTAGCAACAAGGAATGCAACTGCAATAAGCAACTGCAATTAGCAACTGCAACAAGAAATCATTTGAAGTTTATATTTGAATGTATATTTTGTTATTGTGCTCTTAAGTATCTTAAAAAGGATTTTTGCCATTGCTATTCGTAACCATTCATTTGCCAATTTTTTTGGGTGATATTTTGCAATTTTTTTCTCCTTGCACTGCTATTCACAAAATTTTATAACTCCAGAGCTAAAAAGAAATGAACAAAAAATTTTATATGCATTTCTTTAGCATAGAGGACCTATAGAGAGTAAAGAGGAATGCATAAAAACTTTTACGAGTGCCACTTCGGATACTTTGGATGTAAGATGCAATTTTAATTTTGGATATTAATAAATAATTTGAAATGTCATTGTTAAATTTTCCAACAGTACAACTAACTGTCAATTTAAAAGTTAAGATCAAATATTGAACCAAATTTTGTGCAGAAGAAATATTGCTTTAACTAGGAGATAAAAGATCTATTCACATTTATTTTTACATAAGGTTTTCAATTTTGTTATTTTCTAAAATATGATGAACCGTAATATCAAATGGCTTACATAAAAATTTAATTTAATTGCTGAAATTTCATTCTTAAAGTAATTAAAAAAAATTTTATTTGTATCACCAAACATGATTTTTATTTTTTATGAATCTAGGTACATAAGGTACTAAACTTCATGGAAGATACAAAAAATTAGGTCTCTAAAATCAAAAATTAAAACTTTCATTGTTAAGGTTTTTAAGACTCTATTCCTGTGAAAAGTTAAGAAATATAGGTTCCAAGTTAGACACGATTAAATCAGTAATTAAACGCAGTTTTGAATTACTAACTTTAAACAAAGTAAATAAATTAATTAATTAATCGACATACCTCAGAAACAGCAACCAGTTCTGGCTCAATATAAGATACAGCATTTTCCTTCTTTAAAATTGAAACAGCTTGAAATAAGTCCGGAAGTGTTATTTCAATATTTAATACATTTTTAGCCTGAAAAAAATATTAAGAAATTTAACAGCAATTTATAACTAAATTCCTCAATTTTCAGAACTTAAATTTTTAGCAAGTTAACTAATAATTCTACCAATGATTAAAAATATTTCAGCAAACACTGTTCAAGTTGGGAAATAATGTGAATTAAAGTTATATAATTCAAATAAAACAATAAATGTAAATTGTGAATATAATATATTATAACAAAATAAACCAGGGATTTTTTTCTTGAAATTATTTGAATACTGAAAATATATTTCATTATTGAAATCAGACATGATATTTAAAAGCAGTGATAAATGAACTTAAAGTGCTAAAAGAATTAAGGTTTGATGGGACAATTTAAGAGTGAGGAATATGATATATAATGCATGTAACGATTTGGTTAATGGAGTTCTCAACAATGTGTGAGATGCTGTTAAGGAGAACTGTTATTTTTTCTTGTTCTTTCTTACATGAACTTATTTTTTCATATAGTACTTGTAAAAATATAGGGTACCATGAGAAGTATTTATGATTTTTCGAGATGTTTCTTTTAAGACAAAATCATTTTAATTTGGAAGAATTGATTAAAAAACATGAAAAATGATTTTTTTAGATTTTAATTTTGTTCTATTTTTCTGCTTTTCTCCGGAATTAAAAACTTTCTTTTAAAACTAAAATATTATTTTTTATAGATATATTAGACCGTATTTTAAAATGCATAATACTATTTTTGAGAGGATATTTATTGAAACAATAAACGAATACATGTCACTTCTCAACAGTGTGTAAATTAAAAAAAAATGTCAATTCAAGATATCATTTTGTCCTATTAAATGAAAAAAATCGCATTAAAATATTTAAATAGTTTTTTGAAAAAATTGTGTCATATTTTCTTATTTTCCTTCAATATTAATCACCATGAACTCCTTTCAAAATCTTAGAATAATAAATTATGCATTTCTATTCATTTTACGTGAAATGATATCTTGGACAATAAACAGATCAAAAACCATTGAATTTAAAGTTTTCGTTTGGTGCGCATAAAATGTCGGATTTTAAGTGTATAAAACTACATATTTTTGTCAAAAGTTGCTTATTTAAATAATTGATGCTGCTTTTTAAAATCATTTAATTCTCTATATAGAAGTTTTACGACTGTCTTTATTTTCATATTGTTTAGCCTGTAAAAACTGTTCTAAATGTTTAAAAAAATCGATTGGTGAAATATCCGGTGAATAAGTTTATTCATTTTATTTCATTCATTCTTCCCGTTTTTTTTTAAACATTTCGAACAGTTTTTACAGTCAGTGAAAGCTGGTTTAGATGTCTACAAAACATTATATTAAACAGTATGAGAAAGTCTGGAAAATTCCATACATGGAGTTCATTGATTTTAAAGATCAGAATTTTTATTAGACAGGTATCTATGCATTGAAGTCTGGCTAGAAAAAGTGTATGGTAGCAAATCGAGGCAATTTCGATTAAATAACATGTAATTCTAGATTTCACAAATCTAAGAAAATGCGTGGTTAGAACGTACTGAATAAACTTTTTGATGTCTCGATTCTGGTTTGTCTGACTCTCTTTCATCTGCAGATTGCTTACTGTTCTTGTCAAGTTCGATTAATCTTGATAAAATTGTTTGATACCTTTCTACAGCTGCTAGATAAATTTCTCTCCAAGATGCGGCATATTGAAGGAACTGGAGAAAAAAAAAGCATCGATTTAAAATATAGTCCACAAACAAGTTTATAATAAAATACTGATAGTTCATAACTTAACCAACAATTTGGCAATACTAAGATACTTTTTAAAATAGTTTTAGATATTATTTTGACTTACCTCAGGTTCTAATTCTTTGAAGTTGAAAGAATTGTTGTCGTCATCCAACCTATTATCCTCATAAAAGGCACTGCCAGAACTTTCTGGAATAGAACTATCAAATTTTGATCCAAATTCGCCATCATTTACTGTAGTCTAAATAGAAAGTAATGCGTGTAATAACTAACGAAATATAAAGACTAAATATTAAGTAATGCAAAAAATATTAAAAAAAGCCAGTATTAATGTGTATTAGATGGGTAAAAAATTTTAATCTCGATTCAGTGATCATGGGTTTTTTAATTAATCAATTTTATGTAGTTTACACTATGTGTTAATTTCTTAAGTTAGTTATTTTCTAATTTTCTGGGGTTATTACAAAAATAAAATTATTTCATGAATGAATTTTGTTTGATGATAAGCATAGCAATTTTTAGTGGTCAAAAAAGTTAAGAAAAAAAACTATATTTTGTGTGTTAAAATTCGATGCTATAAATTATTTTTGAAGTCCCTAAAAATATCTCTTCACCGAAAAGTTCTTATTTAATTATTAGAATTCAAAAAAATGCACAAAAGTTTGGAACACAACACAAAATGTAAAAAAAGTGTATTAAAAATAAACACGAGATTCCAAAAAAAGTACTATTACAATTGTGATTACTAAAAATTTTTCTTCAAACGCTATAAATTAAAAATAATATATAAACAAATATAAAGTTTGCCTCCTAGAAATGATCAAAATTCACTTTTGAAAAGTACCTGAAAATAAAATAGCTAACGTTATCAATCGAATACTTGCTGTCACATCCAAATAAAATTATAAAAGAAAATAGTACTTAAAATCAATTTATGTCGAAAAATTAGTTCCAGAGCATATGTTGGATTTTATATCAGTCTATTAAAAGGTTTAGTTATAACGAATTGGAATAGACACAGGGTGAAACATAATCACAGTTCTCCACATGTATTATCAAGAATCCTTTTCGAAAATAAGGTTAAAAATATACTGATATTAGGGCACGGAAATTAATTCTTAAGCAAGTAAGAAACTGAAGCCCTAATTTGAAACTCCCAATGAGTCTCCTTTTTTTGGGCTGGAGTAAAAAAATATACATTAAGTACATTCATTAAGGATTTAACAGAATAAGAAAAGTACAAAGATATAGTAAGAAATAGGCATGAAATTATAAAATAAAAACAACATACGCTGTTAAAATTTAGATAGCCTTCGAAATCTTTTTTCCAAATCAAAACAGACATTGGAAAAATGTTTTCCCATAGGAAATTATAAGGAATCTAAAATAGAGAAGTTGAGAAAAATCATTAATGTATCAACAAAACATCAAGTTATATCAATGAAAAATGATTTCCTATAATTAAACAGGCATTTTTAAAATGCTTTTTTTTTGGAACATAAAACAGAAACATACCTTAATCGTTTTCTGTGAAGTATTTCGGCTCTTAGCTTCAAATAAAATAGGGTTGTCATCATTTTGTAACTTTTCAAGCCATTCTTTACCTGGCAGCAAATCTATCCATGATGCAACATCAGATTTCTAAAATAATTGAATAGTAAAGTAAATAACAGCAACTAAATGTGAGAAATTCCAAAACAAACCATGCAACTAACTGCACATTTCAGAATTTATTTTAACAATACTTCTAATGTGTAATTTCGAAACAACATAAAATTGGAAATTTCATTTTTGTAAGTTATTGTAAGTTTTTGTAACCTGTAACTTGCTTTTTCATAGTTTTGCCTCGAAATACTGATTTGAGATAACTAATGCTTAGTGTTATTTTTTTCCCTTTAAAAATCTATTTTTTGGTACAGAAAATAATTTTTTCTCCTATTTTTAAAGTTTTATTATTAATTTCTAAACATTAATTTTTTAACCTTTTCAAATAAATAAATGAAAACCATTAAAAATTCTTTTATGAAAATAGCCACTAACGATTTAATAAAAGTTGGATTTTTTAAATTTATTATTGTTTTTATTTTTAAAAATTCTACAAAGAGGGCCAACAAAAGTATGAAATTTTAACTTCGAATGAATTATATTTCTTCATTTAATTGGAAATTCTTAATCTCAGTATGATCAGGTTGCAATTATATATGGTAACATATATTTAGCAAGTGTTTTCTTCAGTTTTACTGGCACGTTAGTAACTTTCATGAAATTTTTACTCATGATTTGGAATAACTTCGGCCAAATTTCAGCATACAGAGTTTAATATAACTTTTCAGAAGCTTATGTGGGCATGATATCGTTGACGTAAACGTTCAAATGATAAAAAAGGAAACGAAATCAAGTTACATAGGTAGCCGATTCTTATAATTTTAATGCATACAAAAAGGAGTTAAAAGTAAATGGATCTGCTGATGACTATTTCATCCAAAATCTGCACCAAAAGTGACTTATTTATTAAATGACCGATTTATTGATGTCTAATTTATCTATTATTAAAGTGACTTATTCATCAATAGCCAAATTGTTACAGTCTGTTGAATAGGATCCTCCGTTTCAGAAATAATAGTGCAAGCACTCGTATGCACCTTGAAACCAAAAATCATCCCTGCCAGGATCAGCTACCACGGACAGAAGCGTGTGGATGACCGGGGCTGTCGTTGGCTGGCTCGCTTTGTAATCGTGGTTAAAAGAGCAACAGTGCTACAGATGTGCCTTTTCACAGTAACAACGCAAGTTGTCATAACCATGGCCTCTCAATGAGGTGCAGGAGGCATCATACTATGAGAGTCTGCTCACTGTGCAAAGCAAAGCACAACGCTTGGAATGTTGACGTGAACATCACCATTTGACAGTCTCTAGGTGTGGAAAAATATTGCCTAGAGTGATAGATTCACTTTGTTAACTGCACAGAAGGAAATGTACACGTCTGGAGTAAACTACATGAAGGGTAGTGTATCCTTTATGTCAGTATGGGAATCTTCCAGCAGTCGGAGTAGGCATTTTCTGTCTGAAGACTGTTCGCAGAGACTAAAATGGGTCCACTGATAAGTTTGATATAATCTCTCACAGGTGGACGTTACTGGCATATCCTTGACGTCTATACTATCATCTATGTTTATATTTGACAGCCTACAACGGGATTATCTTTCAACAAAGACAATGCACCGTACATCGGAAAGATAGGATGAACATTTTACAGACCAACACGATTATTTTTTGGTCATCAAGGTCACTTGATTTTAATGCAATCGAGCACATCTTTTCAACGCACCACCACCTTTAACCACATCTTTGTGAATTGTGAACGTATGATAAAGAGTCTTATATAGGAATTGATAACTATATCTTTCTGTGTGGTATCGAGTTCATGCCAAAATTAATAGCAGGCGTCATGTAGGCGAAAGATGTTGTAACGCGATACTAGAGATATATCCCGATTTCAATTGTTCTTCGTGGTGTTCTGATGTAAATATACAGAAATATGCTTTTTAAAATTGGTTATATACCATAATAATAAATTGTTATAGATTTTTAGCTGGTTTAAAAAAAACAGCTTCCCATTTAAGCTTCCTATTATAATTTCCCAATATTATCCTCTATATTAAAGATACAAGAATGAGCTTTATTATAGGGAACATCAACAGTTTTATAATTAAAATCAGGTAAAATTAAATATTTTCCTAACACATAAGATGTGATAGCGTACCTCAAAGTATTTTATGAAAAACAAAGTAAGAATGACATTATTTTAGAATTACCTTTGAAGTGTCTATCTCAATACCCATTGCTTTTTTGACTTCATCAAACAATGATAGTTTCGGCTTTAATTCCAGAGTAATTTCGTCGGAATCAGAACTCAACAGCTGTTCAAGGATATCAAGAATAAGAGCATCCCAATTGAAATTTACATTATATGTCTAGAAAAAAGACATCTCTTAAGTTTTATATAAAGAAACTCGAAATTTATTGCGTCATAAAACAAGTTATAAGTGAATTATAATTATTTAATCAAATACTTTTGTTCATTTAAATTTTCATGCATCAATATAAAAAATTATTTTTTTAGTGCGCTAAAAAATAAATGTTTGCAAGACTTTATTATATTTATATGGAGGAAAGAGTAGGTGTGCTTGAATCATGTTTTACATTGTAAGTTTTATTTATTTGTGTTATTTTTTTTTCAAAAGGTGCTGAGATAATATGTGTTTATATTTATTGTTTAACACTAAATCGTCCGTTTCTCTTTCCCGGCTAAGAATTCCATAAAGTTAAAATTGAAATATTATGAGTTTATGCATCTTACTAAACCCGTTTGTGACGTCCTTTAACCTTCTATATTACCTGTTTAAAAGTAAATACTTTTCCTTGTTATTCAATGAAAAACTTAGGTATAAAAAATAAATTTCTATGCAATCATACCCATTTGCAGAATCTTCGGTCAATTGAAAGGATTTACGAAACAAAATATATCAGTAGTAAATAGTAACGAAAACAAAAAACATAGTTAAATTTTAGTTTTCAGAAAAGTTCAGATCATTTTGTTCAAAGAGTGTAAGAAAAAAACTTTTTTTTTCCGTATCAAGTGATTTAAATAGTAGATTAAGAATTATTTTATTCGTCAAACTTCGTAATAAAACCATCTTCAGTTGTGAGAATCTAAATTTAGACACTAAAAATTTACGTGTAATTCTTTAAACAACGCAAATTAAAACATTAGAGTAGTCCTAAACAATTTACAGTTTTTTTTGTTAATTCTAATTTGATTTTTTTAAATATTACCTAAACTAAACCAAAACGTTTTTATAAAATAGGGGACTCATAACTTAGAAATTCTGTGCAATCAAATTAATTTTAAATTATTTATTTTTAGAACAAAGAAATTTCAGAAAATAACAAAAAACCTATAAAGTGTTTTCAGCTCCTTTTACTAATTATAAAATTTTCTACAAAAAGTAATTTGCAAGAATATANGCAGTCTTAAGCTATGAAATAAATTTATTAATTAAAGTTGACTTATTCTTCGAACTAAAATAATTTTACTAACTACTTCAGTTAAGGGAATTTTAATTTTATTTGTGCTCTAACAATTTAGAAGTTAAATAAAGTTTTTATATTTTTTATCAGCACTAATTTAACATTTCAGGCCTAAATTCATGATAAGTGCTGTCACTAATCAATATTGTCATTTAAATTTTCTGTTCTACTTATGCTATATCATTATTGTTGCTTTATTCTGCATTTATATGGCATTAAAGATTGGAATTTTTTTTAACTTTAAACAGCCATATATATATATATATATATAAATCTCTTACCATCTCCTTAATCAGAAGCATTTTCTCCTCTTCCGCAATTTTAAAATCAGAAGTGAATTCTAAACAACGTTTAATTAGATCTTCAGAATGGTATTTTGACATAACGTAAAATATTTCATTCCACGATGGTACGGACTGAAACAATATAACAAATATAGTTAATACAGAAAAATTAAAAGTAGAATTTTACTATAAAACACGTAAGTATAAGTTAAGTAATGAGCCTGGTGACACTAAGCTTGATATGGAAACTCCTACAAACTTGGAAACAAGCGCTTCTTGGACTTAGGGTTACATGCTTTCGTGATGAGATTAAACTCGGAACTTCAAACTAGTTTATAGCTATCTTTCCTGTGAAGTCAATATTTAAAGCGCGTTCTAAAAATTAGTGACATTAATATGGAATAGCGGTGTGATGAAAGATTTTTTTTCAGACTTAACACAACGCAGCGGAAACTTCTACAATACTTCAGAACGACAATAGATACAATGTTTTAGCAAGAGTCCAGCTTTTTTGGCGAGTACAGGCTTTCTCAGAAGGAAGAGAGCAGATGGAAGAAGAATCGTGCACCAAACGACTTTCAACTGAAAAAGAACCGATGAAGGAATCCGGGATCTTGATCATTCAGATCGTCTTTTGAGGGTCAGAATGTTCGGGAATAGTTCAATTTCAATCACACCATCCATCAATGAATTGAGGATGAGAAAAATCTGCTCAAAAATGGCTTCAAAAAACTCTTTCGCTGAAACGAAGGGAAAGGAGATGAGAAAATGTCCTTTTAGGACACTAGAAAATATTCGAAATGTATTAACCCAGGGGATTGAATTTATACCTGTATCTGAGTTCCAGCACTGCTATAAGAAGTGGAAGAAGCATATTTAACTCAGCATGGCTTTCTGAGGGGATTATTTTGAGGGAAGCAATGTGGAATAATAATTCTGTTCGAATAAAAGATATTTAAAGCATCAGTTTCATTACTAAGGGGGGAAAGGAGGGAAGATTTTAAGCAAACGATTACGAATTAATTTTACGCTGAATCGAATAAGATTTAATTCAAGATAGTAGGACACTGCCACAAACCCGCTTATAGGGTGGGCCACAGTCACACAACAGAGGACAGCACAAAGAGAGAGAGAAACATCCATGCCCAGAGCGGGGTTCGAACCCGCAACCAATGGCTTCGCAGTTAGGCGCGCTAACCGCTCGGCCACCTGGCCGGCACTTCATAATTTAATTAATTTATTTTGAAATTTGCTAAAATCTAAAGAAGTACATCTAGGATATGCGCATTCCAAATTTTATGCAACTATATGCAATGCTTCTTTTGATATATCAATTTTAAGGCAGCAAATTTTTGGCTGTTATTTGTCTACAGAAAAATAACTATAAATATTGATATGATGTTGATTTTGGGATTGTAGCGACTGTAAAAATCTTATTAACTATGTAACTTATGTTCCAAGTAAAATGAAAATATTTTGGTGTTATTTGAAGCAGAATAAAGTAGGTTATTTTTTTGAAACAATGAATAAAAACCGATTTTTTAAAAATTATTTTGATATTCTCGGCAAATTTTAATAACAAGAGAAGAACATTTATTTCTGCAATTACTATGAATACTGGTTCTTTTGCAAAGCTGTTAATTACTTTCAAATGGTAATTTTAAACACATGAAATAACTCACTGCAGACAAATTACTAGCAAAACAAACGAAAAATTTTAGACAAAAATATCTACCTGGTTAAGGAGGGTTTTTTCTATCAGTGTTGGTACATTTAATTCATATGACACCTTCCCTGCAGTTTTAGATTTGACGGCATGAATAAAAAAGTCCTCCCAAGATATGTAATCAGAAATCTAAAAATAAATTGATGAAAGGTAAATACCATTTTCTGAACTAAACTTAAATAACTGAAAAGATTGGTTAACGTCAAGCTTCGGAAACATTAAATTTATTTTTTCAAATTTCTAGCAAATAGTTAAATATTTTTTCAAATTTAATTAAATATTTTTTCAAATTTTAAAAACTGAAATAATAGAGAAAATTAACATAGCAGGAACCTCGTTTAAACGTTACTGCACTAAAGAAACGCAATATTATTTACAATTTCTGCAAGTTTAGTAGACTCTCATAATGCACAGACGAACCTATTACATTATTTTTGTGAAATTTGTAGCTTGTAAGTTGTGAAATTAGCTTACAACCTAAATTCTATCGTAATATAAACCATTTAGTCTATAATATGATAATGTAATTTTTCAAAAATTGGGTCTGAATTCTTTATAATACCCTAATGTGGCAAACACTCACAACATGGTTAAAACTCTTATTTGGCTAGAATGTGGCTATAACTGGAATAAAATTATTAAACTTACCGAATCCAATGAACTGGAGGAGCTTTCCACAATTTTATCAAATACTTTTAAATCTTTTTCGATGGAAGATCCAACTTTTAAAAAAATTTCTTTCCAAGTTTCTATTTTGGCCTAGATAAAAGATGAAAAAGTTAGGGAATTTAGTTTGCAATAACGATAACTATAAAAACACTCAATTTCTTAATTTTATCAAATACGAAAGAGCATGAAAACTTCACCCTATATTTGCGGTTAATATAGTTCATTGAAAAAGTTTTATCAAACTGTCTCCTCAAAAATTAAAGTGAATTTAAATTTGTTTCATAAATAATTAGTTAATTAAGAAAACTGCATTATTTAAATAACATCTTAGAATGCGAAAACTTTTGCAAATGTTTTTAGTTTAGTCAGGCAGTATTTTCATTTATACTTTCTGTAAGAAACATCCTAAAATTAGTATACGAATTACAAATAACTTACAAACTATTTCAGAAGAATATATTTTACTCCAAAAAATATTTTGATAGGAATCATTTCATTAAAAAATAATATTTCAAACTCAGAAAACATAATTTGGTTCTTGCACTTCAAGGAGAAGTTGATCACGGATGCCCACACATGTGACCTATGACGTCAGCCCCAGCTGGTCGTTGATTAGCATTGGCATGTTAAAGTTGAGCTACGTTTTTCCGCATAAGTTAGAATGTAATTAAATGTGAAATTAATTAAGTACAGTGCGGTTGTTGAAAAATAATTATTTCTTGTCTACGTCTTTTACTTAACTTAGATTTTTCTTTGTTTGTTTATGTATTTTATTGTAACCATGATATATTTTTGTTTTATGTACAGTCCGCAAAAAAAAAAAAAGATATCACCCTGAATAACTTTCGTTCTAATGATCGGATTTTCACGAACTAAAGGTCAATATTAATGGTTCCTGGGGGTGACCTCAAATATGCTAATTAATTAGTGCTAACTATTAATTAAGTTACGAAATCAGACACAAAAACGTACTTTCTCTGAATAAACATATATTTTTTTTTACATATTTGGCTTTTTAACCTTCAAAATATAGGGGGTAGCCGCAATCTGGGAAATATGGTCCCCATAGTTTGGTCAGGAGAGCGATCCTAAGTTCGTACCCCTTAATGATAATTTCACTTTTTACGTTTTTAGTCATATTTTTAAAACTAATTAAGCAATTCGAAGAAAATTTCACCCAGTCATAAAAATCATTCACCCAAAGATAATTTCACGAAAAAAATAATTTTTAATAATTGTTAATTATTTTTTATTATTTAATTAAATTAAGGATGAAAAATTTTTGAATTATAAGGTATGAATTTTTTTATACCATATTAATCTACATATTTTTCAATTGAAAAATCTAAAGTTTCAACTGTTTTTATTTATTAGAAGCTGCAATAAAAAATACATAGCAAGTTT